ACAAATTGTATTTTTGTCATATTCTCCCTGTCTTGGGAATATACTAGCTCATGCTGACCTTTGAGTAGAAAGATTGATTATATGAGGGCACAAAGACTACAATGAGAAGAGTTTGGAGTTAACTGAATAAAACATGTTAAAGGCTCTTTCTGTAACAAAAGAAATGCTGTGTCCAGAGCATAATGTGCAATAACAAGGACATACTGGTATTGTCAATTTTCAATTTCAATTCTACCTTGAATTTTTTAAATATATTGAATCTTCCAAACACAATTAACATAAATTTCAACATTGTATATATACTTTGACATTTAAAGGAATGAAACACTGTAATTCAAAACTAGATGTAGCTGTGTAGATTCTTACTAGAGTACAGCCTCTAAGTTTCTTAGTTTTAGCCCCTATTCCTTGACTAAACAATGCTGATAGAAAGTTCAGGTTGTACATTTAGTATAATAAACATATATAAGAAACTATAATGCGTAAGACATAATGAGAACTTTCAAAACACGCTTTAGTTTCTGTAAAGTGCTGTCAAAAAGAAAAATAAAAGACATTTAATTTTAAGGTTTTTCCTCCCATAAAATCAAATATTAATCGTAAAATAATTCCTGACCCAAAATTAATACTGCTAGTGGCTTTTTTTCACCCTAACTTGCCAATCTTTTCTTTCCTGTTCAAAGCCAGGCTTACTTAAATTTAAATTTCAAAAGGTATCATGGCTGCAGGTGGGTTGAAGGCCAGAGAGGATACCTAGTGACCTGATATCAGTTGATTTCAGTAAAAAGGGAAGGACAGGGTTCAATCCATCATGTTAAGATTAGCCAATGGTTGATCTATTCTTCTCCCTCCTCTTCTCTTTATAAGCTTTATTGTAACTAGCATACTTCGAGTCCTTTGCTTATTTTTTTGAAATCAGAATGGTCTCCCTATATGTATATAGAATAACTGCTCAGAATATACCTTATGTTTCAGTTTCTTTTGAGTATTTTTAACAGCGCCAACCATAATATATAACGGAAGGATGTGTGTATATGTGTGTGTACGCGTGCATGTCTGCCCTAGAAAACCTCACCACTACCCTCCTCATTCCATATTGTCTCCTATAATTCATTTCCTCCACTACAAATCACTGTCTAATTCGGTTTTATTGTTTATTTATTATACTTATTACATACATAGGTACTTCTTCAATTCACTTTGTTTTGAATATCCATTAGTGTTTTCCTGCACAGGGACAGAAATAACTCATTCACAGGTAAGTTCATCTATATACAAATGGGACATTTCCAAAGCAGTACAGAAAATAATATACACATATTATGCAGCCATAAAAATCATACTTTCCAATAATTTTTATAGTTGAAGGAAATAGTCAAGATATAATGTTTAAAAAAAGAGGATACAAAACCGCATACACTATGATCCAAATACTATTAAAAAATTGTGCCTATGTATATATGTGTATAATATGTATAGTTCACATGCACACATACACATATTCATCCACGGTTTTGGGGATTATGGATGATTTTTATTTGCTTTTCATACTTTTTTTAAAATATAATTTCCATATCTTCTATAATGAATGAATATTATTTAAAAAATTAGTCCAAATAAGGATTATTTTTAAAAATCCCTGTAGACTTAATCTAAAGTCTCATTAAAATGTTTCCCATTGTTGCATGATACACGATAACCTGATAGGTAAAACTGTCATATAATAAGGTTCTTTTGGTCTCTCTGTAATTTTATCTTTTGGGATAGCGTCTGAGATTTGCCTTACACCAAACTCTGTAATAGAGAGAGCACATGTGGACAAAGATGACACCGTAGGTTAGTGTGTTTGCGAGTTAAGCACAGGCTGGGATGACACTACATTGATTGAAACAACTCAAAGTTCTCTTTCAAACTCTAGTTAATTTCTAATCAAGATGAACAAAACAACACAGCCAGCAATTATAGTGATAAGAATTTCAAAGGAAATAAAGTATTTTTTTATTTGAGAAATAGAATATTAGATAAAACCATGTTAAACCCGTGTTTAAAAGACCATTGGATTGCTTTGATGTTTTTTCTCCTCGTTGGAGATAACTACCACCACTTTTTGACCATCTGTGGCAAAGCTGTATTTCTGTTTTTTCAGTCTATGTAATAAGAGAATTGCTCTCTTTGTCTGTCTTTCTGTCTCTCTCGCTCTTTTTTAACTAACTTAATAAAGGTAGTCCCTTCTTTCCAACACAGGCCTTGACCTTAATCTTCCTGTTTTCCAACATACTAAGAAAAGAAGTGAAAAAAGAAGTCAGTGTTTATATTACCCAGATAGAACTATCTGTATCATTCAACCACTGACAGGACCAGTTTGCCTCTGAGTACCTGTACTCTGACGTTTTGTCTTTCCTTCTTGCCTTCCAACTGTCTGTTTCCCATGGGGATTTGGCATCTTCTGTGAAACACTGGTGGCGTAGTGGTTCAGTGTTACGGCTGCTAATCAAAAGGTCGGCCATTTGAGTCCACCAGGCTCTCCTTGGAAACTTTATGGGGCAGTTCTACTCTGTTCTATAAGGTCACTACGAGTCGGAATCAACTTGATGGCAACAGGTTTGGTGTGACCAACACAGATGCTGTCTATTAACTTGTGGCTAGCGCAAATGAAATGATACAAGAACTTTTATTTATTGGGGATAGAAAATATTAAAAGAATCAGTCTAAACAGGAGAAGTACTTGAACACAAATTGTTTTGGCCAGAAACCAAAATGAGGTGAAGGGTTGAGTTTGAGGGCTTGCTTAAAAAATTAGCATATATGACATAATTGATTTGAATAATTAGAGCCTTTCTATTAGCTACTTGGTTGACTTGACTCCCCAGGGAAGATCTACAAATAGATGTTTGTGCAAACAAATATCTATATGAAAAAACACTCTCTCAGTAATGGGTAGATTTGGCCTGTGTATTATAAGGTGATAGACTGAGGTCATTAGCAAATCAAATGAATTATATGTACAAACATGCACTTGGAATATTTCTGTATTTCTCTTTAAATTCTAGGCCAGTGGTGCCCAGAGACCAGTAGGATAATACACAGACTATGGCTGGCCACTGGAACAGTTTTTCGTGAGGTATCTGTCTCCACATAATCTAGAGGTGATATTTGGATGGCACCATTAATTCCAACATATGAATATCATAGCCTGTTTTCTATTGAGTCTGAATAATGCTTTGTTTCTTTCCCAAGTTAAATCATTGCATTTTCATTCATAAGTAGAGGAAACCAAAAACTATAGGAAAATAATTTCTTATGTGTCTCTATAGAATTCTTCTTGGCACCAATAAGGGTTTGGGTATATTTAAACCTCTGAATGTATACGTTATAAAAAAATGAAGTGTAAACGAATGGCAAAATATAACTATTTTAAATAATTTGATTTGTATCCATATGTAACACCCTCTAAATCCTACTATCTGGAAAGAACAGATTAACATTTACGGTTGCATTGTAGTATCAATAACAAAACCTCTGCAGTTCCATCTTTCAGAGGTTTCAATGTCTCCCTTGATAAACTCAACTAACTTCAAAAGAAAAACACAGTCTAGCCTCCGTTTCCATAGAAACATATAGTTTTACAAGATGCATCTACTAAATGGTGGTCTCATTTCATACTGTATTACATACATTGGTATTTGGAAATATATTCTAAGATGACTCAAATTATTTCAAAGACATACATGCCAAACAGTAAATTTAATGTCAAAAGATTTCCTTTTATGTCTACCCAAATTTCAGTACAATTATAGTAAACACTGTTAATATTATGTTTTAGGGTGCTAGTACTGATTTCTTTATAAATCTATACACAGGATTGATAAATTTAGCTCTTTTAAATCATATTCAATAACCAATAAATAATCATCCTAGTTTCGACTGAACACAAAAATAAAAACAACTTTAAGCTATTTTTTTTAAAAGCCACTTTGTTAGAATGAGACATTAAAGAACATACTCTATAATTTAAAAATCTCTAGATTATAGTTTACCTTATTCTCCTTTCAGAGTGCATTCTTCCCCTGTCAAAAGTCTGAACTCTTTAATTTTGCAAAAAACTATTACTACAAAAGTGATAGCTTTGACCTAGACCTAATATGAGACATGCTGGAGAATCCAACAGTAGTTTACAATGTCCAAAGAATCTGAAACTTCTACACGTTGCTAACAGAAATGTCCTATTTCCTGTATACTTTATGTGGTCAGTAGAAGTGTATCTGTATTACCGTTAAACTAACGGTTTAAAATACACAGTATCTGTAAAAAATGATTTCATAAGATCACATATCCCAACACCTAACACAAAGCACCATCTTCTAAACAACTGACAAGAAATCAAGATTCAGGAGAGTAATTTTTCAGTGCTAGCACATGCAGTATATGCAATACAAGCATCAAACATGACCACTTCAAATAAATAGAACAGAATAAGAATGATGCTTTCTTAATTCATCAGATGGCAACTTAATACCAAACCACAAATGCACAAGACAATAATCCCTCCTACCTTGCTGAAGACAGAGAAGAATGACTTACAGAGGCAAGATGTGGGTTTAATTCTTAATTTCTTTTTTCTTGAACTTCAAATATAGTTAATGAACAAACCATACAAACATAGAGATATTTAAATGGTAAAGGTCATTAGATTTCAAAAACAGACTACTGAGAGTTTCTAATCATTGTATTTGAACTTTTTGTACTATACATAAAAGTTACAACATTAAATGAATTAAAACAAGGGACAGAAAAATCTAAAGGATGAATTTTACTTTCAAGGCTAAAGTGCAATAATTGATCACTTCTTTATGAATTATGCATTATATAAAAAATAGCAATTCATAGTGTTGGGAGCTGATAAAGAGAGATCTAAAATATCTCAATAACTTTATGATTTGATAGCCTATTTGGATAATGAATGATTTTATAGGCCTAGTTACAGAAATAAGCATACATACCCTGGTCTAATACTTCCTCCTCTTCCCGTTTTGGTTGCTGTGGTAAAGAAGGCTTATCTTTGTTCTCTGTTTCTGTAAAGGAACAAAGAAGCTGAGCATAAATTTGCAGTATATATTACACACTTTAAATAGCTTATTGGAAATATGCCATCAACATAAAAATATTATTCAGGATCTTGTTTCATAAAAACAAAAGTTTCAAGAATTTATATGCTAGAATACTCTAATGCACACACACATACACAAAACAGTATAACCACCAATTACCAGATTTCTGACTTAATAACTAGGTCAACTACCCTTTGAGTAATATGCATATACCCACTGCCAGTGAGTTGATTCTGACTCATAGGGACCCTACAGGACAGAGCAGAACTGCCCCATAGAGTTTCCAAGGAGCGGCTGGTGGATTCGAACTACTAATCTCTTAACCACTGCACCACCAGGGCTCTGGAGTACATATATATATAATATTT